GATTTCTTTGACCTCCACACTGCCCTCAGTCAGAAGATACATGGGCTCATATGACTGCATTGAGTCCACCTGAATAATTTCTCTTTTGCCATAAAGCAAAACATAATCATGAGAATGATACCATCATAGTTATAGTTTTCACCTATGCTTAAAGGGGAGGTGATTATATAAGGGAAAATGCCATTGGGGATTATTCTTAGATGTCTACCTACCACATGGTTCAATAATCATAGCTGAGGAATGAACACAGATGTAATAATGTTCAGTCTACCTGGTGGAGGCCTCCAGTGGTATCACCAGAACTCAGGTCTCTGATGTTCAGTATGTTTATTGGCATTTTGAATTAAATAAATGATTGATTAGATAGAAGATAGACCAAAGTTCTAAATAATTTTAGCAATTGAAAATGGTGGGGTAGACCAAAATAGTGGAATTTAAGGACAAATGCAAATTAACCTCACAAATACTTCCACACAGGCAGAATGGAGGAGATGTGGTTAGCTGGTAGCTCACAGGAAAAAGACCCAGAGCTTTTAATAGGTTCCAAGATCAACATGACAAACAGCACTAATAGGAGAAGAATGCCCTCAGCATCAGCCTAAAACACATCTATCCATTTTACAGCATTTTAATATTTGAATTTTGAAAATTGTCTGTCCTCAGGATCTATTCCTTGTGCCATTTGATTATGAGATCTTTCATCACCCAGGGAATTTTTGATATGTAAAATAACCTCAATAAAATTGTTTATATATATGTATGTTTGTATATATATATATACACACATATGTATATACAGGGTGTCTCCAATGGAGCTGTCAATCACCAGGGGTGGACACAAGGATCGGGCTGGGCAAAATACTCAATCTCATTGGTCACAGTGATTGGCTCAGAGCATGATCCAAACAGGATCAATCAGAGTCCCTTCAAGGAATCTCATATATGGTACTGGGAAACACTGTCTTCCTTCTGAGTCAGGAGTCATAAAGGTGTGGGTATGGAGACCATCTTGAGCCAAAGAAAGAAATTCTATGCAAGAAAGAAGTCAACATTCTGAAGAAAGCAAAGCCGCAATATGAGACAGAGAGTTCAAGCTTCGGTATCTCCCTGTTTACACTGCAGCAAGCTGGACTCATTTTCCAGGTATGAGAGATAACAAGTCCTTTTTCTGTTTTAAGTTAGTATGAGTTTGGCTTCTATCTCATGTAACCAAAATGTTCTGATGAAAACACTCACTTTACTTAATAGTCGAAAAGTTTACCAAAGAATTGTAAAGGTTACAGAAAACGTAAAACAAAATAAGCTATATTATAGGTCAATATTATATTAAAATGATCTTGAAATGGGCAAGGACTTTCTAAGTATAAGAGTAATAAAATGGGCAATGACAGTAACAATTCACAGGAGAAAGAAATCTAATAGCCAATAAGCACATAAAAATGTTCAAGCTTGTAATTATGGCTGTCCAAATCCAAATGCAATAACATTCTGACTTATAAAATAACATTTTTAACAATAATATGAAAGGGCAAGTTCCCAGATTCTATTTTAGCCAATTGGGACCCAGATCCTATTTCACCCAATCGGAGCTTGGTCTCTCTCCCCTCCAGTCAGCAAGAAGTACACCCACCACCCCTAGACCCTGCCAATTGACCAAAGCCACGACTCATCACCCCCTCAACTACCCCCCAGGCACAGCCAATCAGCCAGAGCCATGGCCATCACCCCCCCCAAAACTGCCCTGGAAACCCATAAAACCTTTGTTCTGGGGAAACTGCGCTCTCTTTCTCTCGCACCTGGCCACTGTGTTGGCACGGGTGTGAGATTGAGCTCGGGCTAGCTCGAATAAAGGCTCTTTTGCTTTTGCATCGGTGTTGGCTCCTTGGTGGTCTCCTTGGGATTCGCGACTTTGGGCACAACAAATACTTGATGTCTGTGAAGATGATGGGAGATGAACACTCTCATAAACTGCTAGTAAGAGTGCAAACATTTTTTTCCAAGAATAATATGAAATATGTGTCATCTAATTATCTTGCTTCTTGGACTCTCTTGGGAAAATAATGAGTAGTAAAGATTTAAGCGATTTAAGTAAGCGAGTCTATGGCAGCTCTATTTTAATAGTAAAAGCATAGATATAACTTAAATATTCCATAATGTGGTTATATTGCATAATACTTCTAAATAGAAGGTAATTCAGCTATTAGTATGTTAGAAGAATATTTAGAGGATACGCACATGATGTAATGTTACATAAAGGAAGCAATCTATGATATTTTATATATAGCATATGATTGCAACTTCACTTTTTCAAAGTCTCCATGTAAAAGGACACAGACTAAATATTAACAATATTAACTGAGCAACTCATATTTTCTTTGTTTAAAGATTACTAAATTTGCCCAGAAAAATATCAGATTAAAAACTTTAAAGAAAGCATATGACCTTGGCTAGTTGTGTCCCTGTCCAGTCAATCACCTTCAAAAACTCATGAATCAATTGTATTTTACCTACTTGCAGCAGTTCCTAAGAAATTAAGAGTTACTCAAAATTGAAAACCAGTTGATTAAAATAGTACTTAACACAGGGCTGAAAGGGGCGTGTGTGTGTGAAGGTGAGGGAAAGGAAGCAGAAGGGGGAACAAATCACCCGAAGAATAAGAAACAACAAAGATCAGTGCTTTTGTTCAACTGGAAAAAAACATTTACATTTAGTTTTTCAACTTAGCATCGGGCCAAAGTCCTCCAACAATGGCTGAACCCTTGTACTCATATATTTAAGTCCCATCCAGCCAGTAGGAAATTCCAAAGAAACAGGCATAGTCAGTTGGATGTACTGTAATGCGGGTGTGCCTTTAATGAATGTGCAGAGGTTATACGGATCAATTGTCCATTTGATTAATTCCCCTTGCAGGAAGGAATTAAATGTACTTAGGCTACACACCAGCAAAAGCTGAACGCTCTTTAAAATGTGATTTGCTGTGTTGAGGCTAATTTTTTTCTGGTCAAAACATTTCTTGAGATAATAATGGAAGTCAGTCAGAAAATGGAATTTGCCATATAAATATTCACTACATACTCCTTTGTAAGAAATGCATCTAATGTGCAAAACAAGGTCAAGGTCTACATAGTATTTGCCATTATCTGCAGCAAACCTTTGAGTTCTTATTTGCTCATTTCATAAAAGAGATGATTACTTCCTGTTTTAGAAATAATTCATTGCCCAAACTTCATCCTTTCCCTCTATGAAGCATTCAACATTAGCGTATGAGAGACTTCCACATCCCACCGAGGCAATGATCTTTTTCAATTCCTGGGCAGGTGTGAAGACCCAGTCAAAAGAAAGGTCTTGTACTTTTTATTACAGGGAATAATGTCTGATTTGTAAGTGGAAAGGAAGGAAATACTCTGAGTGGTATGGAGAAGCTGGGGCACAATCTAAAAATAATTTAAGTAAGTTAGAAAGTCACTGACAAGGACAAAACTAATGCATGGGTGCCATCTTTTGGCTCTGCTGGAGAAGGTCTCATCCATTACTGGTGGTACAAAAGGCTGCAATTCCTATAGAGGGGATTATGTAACAAGACCACATCATTTACCCTATGACCCAGCAATCTGGCTTCTGGAAATTTACCTGGAAGATAGACCTCCAACAATACAAACCTCAAAGTTATTCAATGCCAGTTATTTGTAATTGCAAAACAGTATTAAAAACCTATGGTATATTAGTCCATGGAGTTTGATGCAGATGAGAAAGATATCTTTGAATTGATACAGAGTGATGTAGGGAAAATGGAACATCCTACGGCTAGGATCCTCACCTGAACCTAAACTATTTGATCATGTAACCGGCCTGCTGCTAAGCTACTGCTTCCACACCTGTACACAAGGAGCTATTATTGACTGAATCACTATATAAAGACTTCTGCCCGGTGCTCTGGGCAGAAGCATAGATGAAGGAGGATTATGGACCTGCGGACTGCTGGATGTGGATGTAATTCTAGTGCTCGAACTACTGCCGGGAGAGTAAAGCCGTGTATAACCCTTTTACCCCAAGACTGCTCAGTTGTCATTTCTTGGTCTCACTGAAACCATAATGAACTTGCCCAGGACTGAAATCTTCAGGAAAGGCAGGTGAGAAGGGATGAAAGTCAAAGGCACTCACAATAGGGATGCCATAGCTCCCGTCCCATCCACTTTTCTGATGTTCAGACCTTTGATACATAGCAGTGGTTCTCAAAGTGTGTCCTGAGACCAGCAGCAGTGCTTGGGGAATCCTTACAAATGCAAATTATTTAGCCCCACCCAGACTTACTGAATCAGAGACTTTGGGGCAGGCCCTAGGAATCTGTATTCTTACAAGTCTTCCAGATAATTCTATTGCCCTCTCAAGGTTAGAACAACTGCCTACAGCTCCAAATAATAACAGTGAGAGCTTCAATTAGTTACTTTACTATGTTCTGAAAACCTGTAACACAGTAGGCATCTCCCATTCCACAGATGAGGAAAGTTCCTCAAAGAGAAGTGGTACATCAAAGACTATATGGTTACCAAGTGGCTAGAACCAGGGGCTAGAACCCAAAAGTTTGGACTGCTCACATCCACTCCTTCCACAACCACCCAATGTCCAGTTAAAACAACTTCCAAGCTTAACTCCCCATGGGAATTTTAGCTCTAACTTTGGACCACAGTTAACTGGACCCCTCTTTATAATGAAATCAACAGCATTCTCTGTAAAAGCTTAGCTCTTTCCACCTTTGCCATCCTCAATGCTTCTCCAGTTCTACTTTGGGGAGCCATCACCCCTGATAGGCTGGAGGGCCCCCAGGAAGCCATGATGGGGGATGAAGAAGTTCTGAGGTTAGGGATGATGCTGGTGGCAATGCAGGTCTGATACTCTGGCAACACTGCCAGAGAGAGGAGGCATCATGTGGAACCCGCACCTCTCCCGCTGGGAGCTCCTGAGGCCTTCTGGATGTTTCTACAGGTGCTCCCTCAGCTTACCTGTTGTGGAGCTGTGCCATTGGAAAGAATGTCTAACAAATCAGAAGAGAGAAAGTAAAACCTAGGGAAGGCAAGCCTTTTGGTATCCAGGTACTCTGCCAGGGCTTTCTCACACAGGTACAATCTGAGGGCACAGACACAGAATTCCTAATTAAGTTTGCCTAGGCGCATAGATACACAGACCTTGATGTGAACATACACAATATATGGAATACATGCAGAAACGAGTGCAAGAAACATAGGTATTGCAAACATAAACACTGATAAATTTCCATCAGAATGAACACCCCACTATTACCAAATCCAGGCACACACAGAAACACACGTACTCACTCTTTCACTTGGGCAGTTAAATAGGTCAGGAGCTCAGAGACAGAATGGGGAGAAGGGAATATCATCTCCTGCATTACAAGAGGGGGCAGCTAACAGACCATCACCTGCTCTGAATATCTTCCAGTTTTTCGTAAAGACCTGCTTTGGTGGTGGCTTCCACTACATTCGGAGTTTTCTGAGCATCACAAGCTAGCTCCTTAAAGTCAGCATCAGTCCCTTCAAATCTTTTAGAATCCTGCAAATAAAAATGTGGAAAAACATTAACTACCACCCCCCTCAGTTCCAAAATCTCCCCTTCTGAGGCAAGTCAGGAGCAGAAACCTGTTCTTAGGTTGTCTGAAGATGCTAAGAAAGCGATACCTTTCACCTCCAATGGCAGTACTCAAACATTTTTGTCTTCAAACCCCTTTACCCTTTTAAAAACACTGGAGAGTGTGAAAAGCTTTTCTGTATGTAGGTGTTTCTTTTGTCTACCAATACAGTTTTCTACATTAGCAGCTAAAGCTGAGAAATTTAAAAAATATTTGTTAATTCATTTAAAAAGGAACAATATTAAGCTCATTATGTTAACATAACATGTACTTTTATTCAAAATAATTATATTCCCCCAAACAAAATAACTTAGAGAAAAAAATGCATTGTTCCTTTTCTTCTCCTTTCTTTATTGCAAATCTCTTTAATGTCTGACTTTAATGAGATGACTAAATTCACTTCTCCGCTTCTGCATTCAGTGTGTTGTGATAGCATATGTCATGCAACCTCTGGAAAACTCCCCTGTATGCTCATAGAAGAATGAAAGTCCAAAGGGAAAATAACATTTTAACATTATTATGAAGACAGTTTTGACCTCGACTTTTGACTCTTGGAGGTCACTGGACCACACTTTGAGAAATTTTGGCATCAAACACAGAACTCTTAAGTCAAGTAGATAGTGGATCCAGCATTCTTCCTGGGTCCATACAGAAGTTTAGGCAACCAAACTAAGGTTTTCCTCAGCACTTGTGATGTCAAAGTTAGATGTCATCATTTTTCCCAAACACACATCCCCCCAGAGTGTTGTTAAAATGATTCTGACAATAACATATGTAAAGCACTTTAGTTCAATACCTGGTACCTAGAGTTTGTGGTATTATTATTACTATATAACAACAGTTACAATGGCATGTGCTCTGTGCACTGTTTTAATTGACTCCCTGAAAGAGGTACTAGTATTAGTCTCAGTTTACATCGGAGGAAACCAGGGCACAGAGAGGGTGACTTTCTTACAACCCCACAGCTGCAAGTGGAAGCATTCGGACTCAGGAGCACGCTGCCGGCCCTGTCTGCCCCAGACCTCTGTAGTCCACCCCTCTCCAGGAAGACTTAGACTAACAGGGCCACATAAAGTGAATTATGATTCCCTAATGAGATACTTGGCTCCAGTTACAGGTGGAAAAGGTATCAAGGTTATAGAAGTATTGGAAATACCGGCATAAATGTTAAAATGAAAAAGAGCTGAATTCAGAGAGCTATAATTACACCAAGAGCAATTATGTAAAAATATGTATGTACATAAACAAAAGTTGGGAAATATTCTTAATGAATGAAAAGTTACTAGTTAGGTTGTAAGATGACTGATTTTATTGTTTTGAGATTGTCTCTATTGTCATTTTCTTAATACAGAGAACACATATTTACATATTTTACACACACATTGGTGGCACTGTTGAGCAGTTAATGATACTGATTATTGTATTTCATTGAAAGTCCTCAAATGCCTCCGTTAAAGTCTTTACCAAAGCCTCCATCCATGTCTTCACCCCCTTTATAATTAAACCTGCTCTTCTTCAATCACTAGCACTGGAGATAAATAAAACCTGGCTTATTCAATTTGGCCTAATTACAAAAGCTCTGACAGAATTGTTTTCTGTTAGTTTCCACTCCAAATGTGCAACCTTTAATGTGTATTATTACATTAAATATGCTTTTGCGGGATGAGCTGGGAAAATAAAATGTTGTTATGGAATGTGCTTTAAACTTTTTAGCAAGACCTGGACGTCATTTGACATTTTGGAATTAAACTAATTTGTAAGCAAAGACCTTGCTGTGCAGAAGGGACCCAGAGAAAGCCTGCCAAAAAAAATTCTTTTAATGAGTTAGAGTCTACTGAAGGGGCTAAGTTAATGGCACATTAATTAGGACAAATTAGAAAGGGCTATCAACCACAGGGAAGGTAGCAAAGAGAAGGATGCATATTTTAGAGAAATTCCGTGTTTCGTATTTAGCTGAAAACTGGTATTTACCATGTGGCACAGGCCAGAGGGTTACAGAACAGCTTGCTGCTGAGAAGGAATGTGAATATGCTTGGAAACAGTGCTCTCTGCCAATCAATAGCTGCATTGTAATCATCGATGGGGCAACCCATGAGCAGCTCACCACAAACTGCAGTAGCAAAATATTTTCTATCTCTTCTCTTGTGTACATGGGCTTTTTTAAAATCCAGGTTCTCTTTTGCCCACCCACCCAGGGACAGACTGACTGGTATGCATTTCACCTTTCTTTTCCTCTGCCTGACTTTTGGTGGCTCGCGAAGCAAGCATTTGTTGAGTGAGGCCAAGGTAGGCAGCAGAGAAGGAAAGGTCTAGAGGATGAAGAAACTGGGTGCTCTTCCCTTGACTCGGGAAGGGAACAGAGAGGGCAGGGTTTCCTTAGCAAGTACCTGGGGCAGCTGAGCCCGGATATCATCAGATCCAATGAATATACTCTCCAGATGAGACCATGTGCACTGCACATCAAACCAGATGGCGATGACAGCATCGGCTGTGGACAGCTTCCTCTGCCAGCCCCACACTTCCTCTAGGAAGAAAGCAACATACTTGGACGTCATCAGGTTCTGAAGCTGCACTTGGTTATCCTCCAGGACCTCAGTGAGGCCTTTGTCCGACCACAGCAGGGGGACGTTGGTTCACAGGTGGGGCTCATACTGGAACTCCATGCTGGCCCAGGTGGCCTGCAGCTCCTTCAAGGTCTTCTCCATCCCCATCTCCTCCACTGCTTTGTCCACAATGCCCCAGACCTCATCCTCAAAGCGGTGCAGCTGGAGCTGCAGGAGCTGTGCCAGTGTCATGCCCTCTCCCACCGTGAAGCTCACACCCGTGGCCTGCATCAGCTGCCCCCAGTGCCACCACCGGATGGCCGGATTCTGGAGTTCAGCCACGGCCCTCAGCGAGGTCAGAGTGTTCAGCACAGTGCTTTCCAGGCCCGTGAAGGCATCTCAGCCCCTGACTTTCTTGCCAAGGTTCCGGATGTGCCTGGCAAACCGCTTGCACTCCACGTCCATGGCCTCCACGTTGATATCCCTCCACATGGTGGTCTCCCAGGCACGGATGCTGGAGGTCACCATCCCAGCGGTGTCCCAGAGCTCCTTCAGCTGGCAGACCTCCTTCCTGCACTGCTTTAGCTGCTTGTAGTCTGGACACTAACCTCAAACAGGCTGGCGGACTCTGCAGCGGAGGCCATGGTGGATTCCATCTGCTGGATCTTAGTGTGCCAGGCATCCAGCATTTGATAAGTGTCAATGCTGTCAAATCTACAAGACACAATGTGTTTCCTTTGTAAGTACAGCATACTTATTAGTAATATTATTGCTGTACAGGCCCATTTCTAGGATCACCAAAGTACCAGCAACTCTAATACTTACTTTTTATTTTTAGTTGAAGTGTAGTTGACATACAATATTATATTGGTTGCAGGTGTACAACATGGTGTTTCAACAATTATATTCTTTATAAAATGCTCATCATGATAAATGTAGTTACCAGATGTCAACATATAAAATTATGAAACTATTGACTATATTCCCTATGCTGTACTCTTCATCCCCATGACTTACTTATTTTATAATTGGGAGGAGTTCATCCCTCTTAATTCCCTTCAACTATTTTGCCCATCCCTGCACTCCTCCTCTCTATGGCAAACATCATTTGTTTTCCATATTTATGTGTCTGTTTCTATTTTTTTGTTTGTCTCTTTTTTCTGCTTTACAGATCGTACATGTAAGCGAAATCATATAGTATTTGTCTTTCTCTGCTTGGCTTATTTCGCTGAGCACAAACGCTTAGAATCTGAGCAAAGAGCAGTGAGTTTCACCAAAGCCTGGGAAGAAAAGACATTCAGGGCAGGTTGGAGTAGAGTGAACACAACCCACTGGAGGGAAGACACTCCAAGAGGAACACCCTGCTTGGATCTTTTCTTCACTTCTGAGAAGGTAAAAATGCTCCTCTTATCCTCCACCTCCCCAACCCCTTATCCAGGGTAGAGGGGAGTCATCCCTTTGTTCAAGCCCCCTTCAGACTCTGCTGCCACTCACTGGCTTCCAGACCACTTGACACGAAAGAGCACCGCAGATGCTAAAAGCCAAAGCCTGCCGGGAGCTGCTAGTGGGAAGTCGTCTTTAAGTGAGAGGGCTGGCACTTAAAAGTCCAGCACTGACCCCATCTGGCATCGCTTCCTCTTGAGCAGTGGTTCTCAGTCTTGGCTGCATATTAGAATCTTCTGGAAGCTTTAAAATCTCCATGCCCAGGCTGCTCCCCAGATCAATTAAATCAGAATCTTTGGGGCTGGGGTGTGCACAATGGCAGTTTTCAAGCACCCCGGGTGACTCCAGTGTGCTCTGCTGGTGTCCTTGTCTGTGGTGAGACTCACACTGATGGCCTGCAGTGCTTTCTTCCAAGTCTGAGGACCTCTGCTGGGAGCCTTGGAGAACACAAAGCCCTCAGCAAGGCACTCCGCAGTCACCATCAGTTTCCTTCACTGTGTGCCTCAGCTCGGGCTCCTCATCTAAGTCCCTTCTCCAGGCTGTGCTCAGCTTCCCCTCCGCCCTCTCTGGTCTGCTCTGCCTGCATCCTGGGGTGGCCCCTGGGTCTGCACTTGCCCCAGTAAACACTGTATCTAACTTTAGAGTTTTAATTCATGCCCCCTCATCCTCTTTTCTCCAACGTGTATGGCAGGTGTCCTCTGCTCCTGGTGCTCAGCAGCGTTAACCTACTCGATGCTGCCACCCGCCCAGACCTGCTTTCCTGGTTTGGCCTCTCCATGTAAGAACTCTACATACAAAGGAACCCACACATGCAGATAATGTTTCTGTGGCCAGAAGCACCCAGAACCCAGTGTGCAAGGAGCCTCTCATTTTCCTCCGCAATCTCACTTTACACTTTTTCGCCATCACCTCTTTTAGGTTTTATTGTTTCTATGTGCTTGGGTTAGGTACTGGGGACACCACGACTTACGTGTGAACACTGCGTTCCTCTAAAATCAGAACAGGGCATCCCAGGGTCCATCCTCAAGGGGAAAGTTGAGAGGACATGAATGACTAGAGAAGTGGCCGTTTCCTCCAACTGAGTGTGCGTATCCATATGTGTGTATTGGCTGGGGGGGATGTGGAGGGGAGGGGAGGGGAGAAAGGAGAAGGATGGCATACAAATTCCCTTTCTTGAACTGCCTCTTCTCTCGGAAATATTGGACTTGATGGATGGAAAGGGATCCTAATTAAAGTCATTTACCTGAACTGCTCACCACTTAAGCCTAATTGCCATGCAACACAATAACAGTTATGCATACCATTAAATTAGTGTCAGATTAACTGATGCTTGCTATGTTTGATTCCGCTTGTTCCATCTAAATAGTTTTCGGCCTTTGTGTTATGGTGGTGGATTTACTCCTCACAGGAATGAGGCTGAACAACAGTGCACGTCTTCACTGTTCTCCAGCTGCCAGCTGTCTTGAACAGAATGAGTTTGGAGATGACAGAGCTGAAAAGGGCCCTTCATCTATATAGGCAAGGAACCCTCTCCCCCATGAGAACAGTGGAGAAAGAACTAGAAGGAAAGAAATGTAACATCCTCAAGCAAGCGGTCCAGCAGGGAAGATCACCATACCTGAATGGTCCTGCTTATTTTTAATTTCCAGAGACTAATTGTCAGTGTGTAGGTTCTACTTTTTATCTTGACTGCAGTGAACTTAGCCTCTTGGTATTAGCACAAGATCGACTAGACAAATTCTAGGAGCCCACATGCTGTTTAATATATTAATGGAGTAAAATTCAAGAATAACTTAATAGGTAAGATATGTGCTATTAGAGTTTTGAGGGTGCACACAAAAGAAGATAAATGATCTTTCTAACCATTCTTTCCTCAGCACATATGAACATCCTTAAATCAATATTGGTTCCTCAAATATTTGTAAGAGGTGAGCATTTGACAAACCTATCCCAAACTTCATCTACCCTGTGGCATAGTTTTTGTTTATAGTTTAAATTTGTGGACAGTAATTTCCTGCAGCTAAGCACACATAAAAGTTAATTCGGCCTAAGTAGTGAAAAGGACCTCTGGACATGAGGGCAGGTAACCTTTTTCCCATTTAAACACTGTAGTGTGAATTGTCAGGATAGCCACAGACCTGATTAATGTGCCTAATAAACTACAAGCGGTTCTCTAAACCCAGGGGGCAATACCGTACAAAAACAAGAAAGTAATAGGAGGGAAAAGGGTGTACTAAGTCTTTGAAATTGAAATAATAATGCAAAAATATTTTAATCTAAAAGAGAAATGTCTGGAAAGTTTAGATGAATAAAACCATAATTAAGAGAGATGGAAATATGGTGTTCATGCATGTGATCTTGGAAAAATGACTGATGTCAGCCTGACCTAGACTTGAGCATAGAGAGAGAAAGAGCAGTAAGTGACTTAAATTGTTTTGTGGGAAGCTAGTAGCTGGTAAAGGTTAACCTCAGCACCATACGTGTATACAACGAATGATGACACACCTCTGCTTGATACCCCACAGGTACTGTACAACTCAGCACATCTGATCTGAACTTGTGTTCTTCCAGCTCTTTCCATCCTGTGGCCCCCATCTGCGTGAGCAGTGGAACAGTCCCTTCCAATGACTTGTCCAAAATGGAAGACGGAGAACAAGTGGCTAATTCTCAAGATGGCTCCAGCACCCTCTTCTAGGGGGTGTGAACTGCCTCCCAGTGGGGATTGAAGTTGGCATCCAGTGAACATGACTACTTACTCATTTTTGAAACTATCCTGAGGCTGTAAGTCCTTGAGGTCAGGGACTGTGTATAACTTTAAAATCCTAGCCCTTGCATCATTTTTGCTGACTCCACTGTTGAGACCACAGCTTCTTTTGTTCCATGGAAGCCTGAATCATGTGAATGAGTCAAATTAGCTGGAAGAAGAGGGTCAAGCTCAACTAGTCTAATGAACTATATAGATATGTCCCTGGGAGATTTAATGACCCATGTTGCTTTTTTCTCCAGTGATTGAAGAGATGGTAGATGCTGTCCAAGTGAGACAGAGGTCCTTCTTCCCTCCTGTGTGCTCTCTGGGCTATTTGGAAAGCCTTGCTTTCTCTAGTTGTCATGCAGGATAGTATCCAATGGGAGGGTGTCTTCAAGAAGGCTCCACAACTATTGACAGAATCTGATTGCCAGCCAACTAAAACCACTAATGTTCCCCATTAAGCTGGAGCCTGCAGGGGTCAAATGCTTTGGCTAAGAAACTCCTGAGTTACCTTGGTCTGGAGATGGATAAGATGTCCTGGAATCATTCCTAAGGTCAGAAATACTGAACAAGAGAGTGCTGCTGGAAGCATAGAACATCCCTTTCACTCAGAGGAGAATTAGTCTCCAATTTTAAGAGTTCTAGAAAGCCCTTGAATCTGAGTATGATGATTTAGCCAATTACTGTGAAGTGAGAGAGCTCAATTAGGAATACGCTGACACAGCTGAGAGTTTAGGACTAAAAGAGGAAGTAAAACATGACTTGGACATGAAGAACTCAACCCAAGCAATGTGACATCACCCAGCACCTGTCAGACTGCAAGGGCCTAATGAGACACTTTATTTCTTTTTCTTCCTCCAAGACAAGATAAATGGGAGCTTAACCTGTAGTCTAATCAGGAATAGACACTTGCATGCATTGAGGAATGCACCACAGGCTGCATTTTAGAAATTCGTCAATGATCTCAAAGTGAAGCAACCAGAACTAAACTCATTTGCTACTCACTGTACCTCAACATTTTAAACACATACATTCACACACACCAAACTAAGAAACAAAACAAAATGAATTGACACCCACGAAGATTCCCTTCATCAGTAAATCCACAATTCTGCTCTAGTCCTGAAGGTTTTTTTGAGGAGAGAAATACATCAAAATTGCAGTAATGTTTGGATTTCCACACTGCTGTGAGCAATTCTTTTCAAAGCATTCTCTTCCAGAGATTTGTCTGCATGTCAAATTAAGAGATGTGAATTTGGAAAACCCAGCTAAGGGGAGTGATAACCTCATAGCCAGCAGATAAAGTGCTAAGAAAGAGAAAAAAAAATAGTGCAGCTACTAAATCAAAAAACAACAGCCAATCAATACACGTACACAATGTAACCATGAAGGAGGAATACCAGATTTCCATCAGATGACTAGCAAATGAGTATTGTCCCTTCAACCAATCTCAGAAGCCTGTTTGGGAAGCCATTTCACCAAACCATCTTGAGAATTCCTTTTTTAAAATTTTCTTAAGAGACAGTCTTAAGACAGACTAATGCCAAGGTTATTAGTATCATTATTTTTATGGCTGCTGCCATGGTGTGATTGTTAACACTAAGCAGTATTACTCAGCTTGATATCCTACCTCCCTCAACAGCTTTTGCTCTACATGATGAGTGTTGAATTTTAAAAATTCAACGGCATGCCCAAAAGGAGTTCCACCAGTGTTTTGAACAATAGATGTTTCTTAGGAATGAGGGCATAGCTACTAAGGCAATTATTCTAGAGGGAGGCAGACTCAGTTTTAATGTCCTGATTTGATTGCTGAGAAGAGAAGCAGTTACTTCCCTCCAGGGCAGCAGTCTCAAACTTGGCTGCATGCTGGAAACACCTGGGGAGCTTTAAAAACTACTGATGCCAGGTCTTACCCCCAGAGAATCTGATATAGTTGGTCTGTGGGGCAGACTGGATATTGGAAGTTTTAAGAGCTCCCTGGGTGGTTCTAATGTGCAGTTGAAATAGTAGCACACTGCTTCAGAGTCCTGTGTTTTATCTGTCTATACACATCTTTTGCACAGTTTTACAAATCTGCCCTTCTCTTCCACTCAACACACTCATTTTGTTCTCTCTAGCCCCAAGTATAATAATTGGGGGAGAGTAGCTGCTTAATAAGTGTTTGATGAACATTATTCAGTAAGAATAAGAAGACCCTTAACTGTGGGCTAGGTTGGGTGACCAACAGCTCCGATGTGCCTGGTACAGAGGGACTTCCCTAGATGTGTGACCTTTCAGTGGCAACATGGGAAGAGTCAAGGGAAAACCAAGAAGGTTGGTCACCCTAGTGCCAGATGCTATGCTAAACACTTGGAAAGGGTATTGCTTTAACCCTATTGGCAACCCTATGCGATGCATGCTATTTTTAACCCAATTTTACAGACAAGGAAACTGAAGCACATATTGAGTGGCTTCCTGACATGGGCATTAAGCCTGAGATTAGACACTAGACAGCCTTTGTCCAGAGTCCATATACTTAATCATTATGCTCTATTTTCTTTCAGTAGAGTTGTGATTTTTGTTTGTTTCATTTGTTGCTTTAACATGTACCTCCCAATGTAATATTCAATAGCCTCTGATGCTGAGCAGTAGACCAGAAGCAGACCCTAGCAGACTTCCCCACTAAGGGGGGAAACCTCAGAGAATGGAACCTATGTATGCGTGCACACTGTGCTTACATGTGAATGGTGTTGCCCATCCTATAGCTGTTTTATGTAAAGACCCCTTAATCACAAGTAAGGAGGTGTCTGAGCATTACTAAGCTATGAAAGAAGTAAACCCTTCACCTCAAATCCTTCCTAATTTAGGCTACCAAAATGCCTTCCAAAAGTATTTTAAAATTCTATCAGCCATAAAAGAAAAGGAGTTTTTGAGAATTTAGAATACCAACAGTTTAGTGAAAACTTTATAATTATACCACACCCTTTATAGACCTGGAGACACAGAAGTTTCTAGACTTTTGAAGGCAAGGTCTTTTGTTTGCACAACCTGTGGTCATCTCATGCAGGCGCTGAGAGGATGCTGTCCAGTCCAGCCCCACGTCCTAACCATAAAGGGGGGGAAGACTGTTAACTAGTCTTAACCTGTGAGAAGAACACAAACTCAACAGAAAGACAGTCAGTGACTCAAAGGTGCCATGTTTACAAGTAAGGAGGCAGTGGTGGGGACTGATCCATACCTGAAGGGAACTTCTTGGTGGAATTGCTCGCAGAATCACTGCTGTTCAGCATCAAAGGCTGTGCACCACTGGCAGAGGACGCTCACTTCATTCGCTTGCAGTGGGGCCACCTGCTGCCTCGCAGTAATGGCCATCTTTTTTATGTTGTTCCATTTCTCAGGCAGCTCCTGCAATGAAGATCTCAGTGTGGTCAGACCCACATTGTTCCCCCCCTTCACCACAGTCCTGAAACTGGACAGACCCCAGATACCTTCATGTCTGCCACAACACCTGCTGCAATGCCATGGTATCATTTGTCTGTTTTCAACAACTCCCCTTCCTTGACTTATCTCCCTAGTCAGTTGTTCTATCGACGATCATCTACTTTGCACTCAACACTACCCTTCTTGCCCTCAGCCTCTGACCCAGTAACCCTTTCCCTTTTTATATTTTCCAAGAATACTTGGTTATTTTCTGTAACACCCCACACTTCCTCTTAGACCACCTTAACATTCCTCAGATCTGCTCTTTTCTCCTCTGAGTGAAAATAATTCGTTCACCCTTAATTCTGGAAAAAAAAACCTGACACACTTTGTCCACATCAATTCTCCCATATATCCTCCAGAATTACAGTGTTTCATATTTATTGAGTTTCCACCATGTGCTAGATATGACACATACCTTACACATAGTGTTATAAATTATGGGCCTTGGGCAATTGCTAAGCCGTGTTTCTCATTTATTTCAATCCACCTCACCTGACTCTGAAATCCTGAAACTCCCCCACTCTTTCTTTTATTAGGAAAACAAATTTTGCACTGACCTCCAGCTGCTTAAACACCGTTTTTGGCAATTCTTGTCCATAGGTCTTCATCAATTCAATAGTTTGCTTTAAGGGCTCAAACATCTCATCAGTGCTGCCCTGCCGTTCTTTAAGAGCCATAAGGTGTCCCATAATCTCAACCAATCCTTTAAAATCGCCTTTTTCAACTTCCTTGAGCAAGCCACTCTCACTATTTTTTATAAACACTTCAAGGTAGGCCAAGCTAAGCAAAACACAAACAGAACATGAGGAGCCACTCTCCTGCCTCTCCCCAAAAAGCAGATTTATTTATTGCCCCAAAAATATAGCTATTGCAATGGAGAACCTTCCATGTGCACAGCTCTCTGCATAGACTGTACACTGATGGTAAGAATATGAGCCTTTTCAGAAGTGTCAGAGTCATGAAGACAAAGATGAACACTTTGATGGTGACTCCGGGGACACGACATATTAGTAGGACAGCTGGGGAAATGTGAACAAGGTCTGTAGGTTAGTTACTAGTACATCAATATTAACTTTCCGATCTTGACTGTACTGTGGTTATGCAAGATGTTATCATTTGGGAAATCTGAGTGAAGGTAAAAGTAAATAAATGAATCAAATAAATAAAAATACACTGCACAAAAAGGGAACTTTGGTATTGTTTTGCAATGTTTTTTGTAATGTTTTCTTGAAATTTTCAAAAAAACTATAAATCACAAAAATACTGTGGTGTCTAAAATCATACACACTCGGGTTGTATGTGTAATCATGGCCAAGTCATTTAACATCTGAGCCTGTTTCCTTGCCTATAAGATTGGAGAAATCATTTCTGTCTCACTGGTTATTGTGAGAATTGTCTTTAATTCAGATATATTTATTATCTATTACATGATACAAGAAAAAAATTAATATGTCTAACACATGAGCCCTAGCATGCTTCCAGGTCCTGAGGAGAGAATAAATAGGATAAACAAAGGCTCTGCCCTTTTGAAACTTACCTCTTAGTGGGAAAAATAAATAGGAAACAAGTGGATGGAATAGACTGAACAGTTTCACATAGTGATGAGAACTATAAATGGGTAGAGACTATTTAGGATGGCTCTATTCTCTATGGATTGGTTAGTAAAGGCCTTTCTATTGAGGTGGTTTTTGAGCAGAAACATAAATGGTATGAAGGAGGGAGCCATAGAGAGAAATAGAAGAGTTTTCAGGTAGAGGGAACAGCATGAGGGAAGGCACAGAACCTGGATTCAGTTGACTTGTTTGAGGAAAAGGGGAAAAGTCAACGTGGCAGAAGCATGAGGCAAATAGGGAAAAAATGAAGGGAGAAGAGGGCAGAGAGTTAGCTAGGGACCAGACATGGCAGGGCCTTAGTGGCCATGATAAGCACTCCAGATTTTATTCTGAGCAAAAGATCTGCAGCTAGAGGAGAACGTGTTTTAGCAGGAGGTGGTAATGAAGATGGTGGTGCTGGCTTTGCTGGTTGGGAGACAAGAATGGAAGCCAGGAGGGCTTTAGGGACTATAATCATTGTCCATGTGACAGAAAATAATCGACTTTGACCGGCTGGTGGACCTGAGGAGTGGTCAGATTCAATATAATTTTGCATGTAGAGCCTATAGGACCCACTGATGGATTAGGCGAGAGATGTGAGGAAACAAGAGAGATCAATAGTGGCCCCAGGCAGTGAGGTGAACAATGGTATCATTTAAAAAGATATGGGGAAGAATTGGGGAAGACTAGTTTTTGTGGAGGGAGAAGGGGAAGAGGAACACGTTTTAAACACATGAGGTTTAAGATGCCTCCCAGACACTAGACACTTCAGAGAAACATTTATTAGTCAGTGGAGAGTTCCTGAGAGATGGGGCTGAAAATATAAATTTGGTAGTTATCACACAGATGTACTTCAAGTGGTGGGTTAGATGTCACTTGGAATATGAGTATTGATAGCTAAGAAAGTTCAGGATTAAGGTTTCAGGAATTCTAATATTTGGAGGTCTAGAAGAGACAAGCCCAGCTAAGGAGACCAAGATGGCACAGCCAGTGAGACAGGAGGAAAACAAGAAACGTGAGGTATCCTGAAAGCCACAGGGAGAAATGGGGAAAGAGGGAATGATCAGCTATGCCAACTCCTCCTGAGGGGTACACATGAAGATGAAGACAGATCGTGACCACAGGGTGTGGCCATGTGAAAGCTGTTAGCCACCTTGACATGAGTGGTTTCAGTGGGCTGGTCTAGTAAAAGGCTGACTGCAGAGTAAGCTGGGGAATGGCAGACTTCAGATTCTTGCTGTATGATGTACATGATGACATGAGTAACCCTCCTGCTCAAACAACTAGAAGGCATAAGCAACTATTTCAAAATCATTTAAAACATGCATCACTAGCAGGGCATGAAATTAAGGAATCTCCAGAGGCTGAAGATGTATCAAGAGCAAGAACCAAGCAAGGTTTTAAGTTGGCGTTCATATAATGGTTTCTACTGCACCATGAAGACCTTGAACTTCCACTTTGATTGCTTGAGCCGAGGGCCCACACAAGGTGGGTAGGCTAAGCTAATAGGAAGCTGCAACACAGCAAGAATGAACAAGAAATAAACACACTGCACAGAAAGGGACTGTAGGGAAACTTGTCTGCTTTACCCTGGGCACTAGGTGGGCCACTGCTAGTTGAAGTGTAGGTGGTCTGGGATTGGAAGAATCCCCTGGATGACTGGTAGAAACAAAAGCAAATCATTCCTGGAGGAATGAAACTAGAATCTAATCTTCAAAGGATTTCCACAGATAAAATTCCAAGGAACATGGTTTACAATCAAAAGTTATAACCCATACAAGAAGTCACCATGAGTAGGAGCTAGCAGAAACAGACACAAAACCTGTGAAGAGTTCAGATACTGGAATTCAGATGCAGAATATAAAATAGCAATATTTAATATATTGAAAGGACAAACGAGTTCTTGTTTGAGTGTTTCACTTTACCGTTTCTGACCCATATAGCAGGAGAAAGTAACTTCCTGCAGTTTCTCGGACATCAATTCAAGACTAAGAAAAACAACTTTATCCTTTTAAGCACCATATGCCAGTTTAGACAGAAGTGCTTTCTTTAGGAATGACTCTAGAAGCCTAGATAAGTCCACACAGCCTTAATAAGTCACAGACCCTGCCCCTGACCCAGTACTAAGTTCAAATGTAAATTCAGCATTATCTCAGAGTCAGGAATGGAAGCAATTTCAGAGGCTTTCCAAATATGCCAGAACCAGTGATAGCATGTGGACCTTTGTCTGAATGATGGATTCCAACAAGTGACAAAACTCACTGAAGTGGATAACATGAAAATTATGGCCTGTGATGGCATTACTTTGTGAAGGGAAGCATAGAAAAGCTTTTAATATGTGTTTTAGCAATGCAAAAATGATCATACTGTGCTTTGTTGATGGACAATTCCAGGAGAAAGAAGCTAATAATTTCCTGGAGGCCTTTATGTTACCTTGAATCTACAGCATGAAGAAACAAATAATTTTTAAGTTGACACATCAAAAGTTGTCTTAAAATCATCTAATGAACATGTTCTCCAACTTAAAAAATGAATAAATAAAAGAGAAGCCTTAAAATTTGAGCAAAGAACAAAAGAGTGTAAAAAATGAGCAAGGAAAATTATAAAATCACCAAATAGAAATTTAAAAATGGAAAGTATAATTAAAATTTAAAGCTCAGTGAATGGTTTAAAGAGGAGATTTAGACAAAGCTGAAAGAGAGAATTAGATTGCTCTATGTGGAGAAAGTGAAGTTTTCTGAACTGCAGTGCAGATAGACAAAAAACTGAAAGCTCTGGAAACTGTGAAGACACATGAAGGAGTGAGAAGATCTGGCATAAGTGTAGTAAGGGCTCCAGGAGGAAGCAAGAGAGAGAATGGGCAAGAAACAATCTTTGAAGAGATCCTAGTGGAGAATTTTCTTGAATTGCTAAGACTCCAAATGTGAGATTAAAAGAGCAACAAATTCCAGGCAAAATTAATATAAAGAAACCCTCACATAGGTAGTTCATGAAACTAAAGATTGCCAAAAAGGAAAAAAAAAATAAAACCTTTAAAGTAGTTAAATGGCTTCAGAGCAAAGACAGACTTCTACAAAACAAGGGAGGGAAAAAAGAATTAAACTAACATGTGACTAGACAATGAAAAAATGGAAGCCAGGACACAGTGGAATAATACTTTAATACATAAAGAAGATATCTGCTGTCCTAGAATTCTATCTTCTAAAAAACTTTTTCAAGAACAAGGGCAAAATACATGCATTTTCAGACAAAGAAAACATGAGAGTTCTAACAATAGACCCTTATTAAGGGAACCTCTAGTGGACAGATCTCAGGTAAGAGCTCTGTGATGTAGGAAGATTTAATGAGCAAAGATATTGGTGAATATGTAGGTAAATTTAAATAAACATTGAGTGTATAAAAATAAAAATAAAGTATAATTTGTGGAGTTTAAATACTAGAGAGCAATTGAAATTACTGGGAATGACAGAATATAATTCTAGGAGTGAACAGTTGAGTTCAAACTATTCTAAAGTCTTTGCATTGGTTGTGAAGAGAGTAATAATGCTGATAAATTTCTTTCTTTTAAGGATGCTTATTAAAACAGCAATGGGAACCATAAGAACTGGAGACCTTAATAGTACAACATCCAAATTAGCAGAAGGGAAGAAAATGGAGTAAGAAAAAGGAAAAATGAAAGAAAACAAAAAAAGCAGGCAAGAAAGGAAAAAATTAAAAGGAAAAGAACAAATGGAAAGTATATAATAAAATGGTAGAAATGGATCCAAAATAGCAAAAGACATGTTGATGAACATCCAGTTAAAATGTCAGTATTGAGGTAGATGAAACATTCAGTTCTATGCTGTTTATAAAAATCTCTCCTAATATAAAAGCACAGAAAGGGTTGAAAGCCAACAGGTAAAATGAGAGACACTAGGCAAATATCATACAAGGGAAATTGGTTTAATCATATTAAAACAAGACAAAACAGACTTCAACACAAAAAATCTAGCTAGAGATAAAGAAGATTAATGTATGGCTAAAAGTTTCAGTTTGCCAGGAAGATAGAAAGAATCAAACCCTGCATGTTCACAGAACATAACCTTAAAATAAATGAGACAAAAAGTGAAAGAAATATAAGGAGAAATTAACAATCTACCAGCAAAGTGGAAATTTTTAACACAGTTATCTCAGTAATTGATAAATTAA